AAATGATAACATTGACTGCAATATGAAAGAAAAACAGGTAAAATTATGTACTTTATATAATACACAATTATGTTGAGATATATGCAGGTATACTTGTCAGGATATGAAAGAGAACATTTGCCAATCTAGAAGTATTTGACAATACTTGTTTATACCAAAAGCTTTCCCACGTTGCTTACACATACATAATTTCTGCCAGGTGTGAATATTTCTGTCTATAAAATGTAGTAGCTAATCCTTTTCCACACTGCTTACTTACCTAGGGTTGTTCCTCAGTGTGAATTCTTTCATGTATTTGACACTGTATCTGTCGAATGCTTTCCCACATTGCATAGATACATAGGGTTACTCTCCACTGTGAGATCTTCTATGTCTACAAAATGAAGCATTAGGAGCAATCCTTTCTCACACTGCTTACACATGTAGGATTTCTTACCGGTGTGACTTCTTTCATATATTTCATACTGGCTGCATTTGCTGAATGCTTTCCCACATACATAGGGTTTCTCACTAACGTGATTTTTTTCCATATCTTTGAGAATAGTTGTATATACTGAATGCTCTTCCCACATTACTTACACACACAGGATTTCTCCCCAATGTAAGTTCTTTCAAATGCTTGACGATGACTGTATTCTCAAAGCTCTCCTATATTGCTTACATACATAAGGTTTCTCCCCACTGTGAATTCTTTCATGTCTGTGAAACAAATTACTGTGAGCTACTGCTTTCCCACATTCCTTAGATACACAGGATTTCTCTCCAGCATGTCTTCTTTCATGTATTTGAATATAGCAAGAAGAAATAAAAACTTTCCTGCATTGCTTATCTATATATATACATGTATTCCCTCCACTGTAATTTCTTTCATGGATTTGAACATCACTCGGTATGTTGGAGGCCGTCACACTTCTCTTACATACAAAGGTCTTCTCTAGGATGAGTTCTCTCACTAAAATCAGAGTAGGTTTTCCTAAGTTGCTCATATTCACAGTGTTTTGTCTCTAGCCATAGTCTCTGCATGTTTCTGAAGGGACTAGAAATCACTGCAGGATCTTCTATGCTCACTACATTTATGCAGCTTCTCTTCAAATCCCAAATACTCATGTGGTTTCAATCCAGTGTGAACTCTGATGAGCCTATTTAGTGATAATGACTAGTCAGGGGCTTTCTACAAGGTTTTCAGCTGGTTTTAAACCAGTTTGTTTCATGTTCACATTAGCATCTGGAGGCCAAAGGAATATTTCTTCATGTTGATTCAAAGCTTTATATGGATATACTGCTCTACCTCTTCATTTCTTAGGTTTATCTGGCAAATTCCATACTCTTCTTCAATTTGCTGGTTATCCCAGGTTCTTCCTATAGCAGCCATGTTCATAAATGTTTCCCCTACTGCTAGGCATGGTGATGCATGCCTGTAATCCCAGCACTCAAGAGGCTGATGGAGGAGGATTCCTGGGAGTTTGAGGCCAGCTGGGCTACCTAGCAGGGCCCTGTCTCAAAAAAAAACAGAACAGAACAGAACAAAACAAAAAAAAAGAATGACATTCAAGACCATTCTAGCTAATGGATATGGGATTTTTTTAGGATATTATACTAAGTAAAATAAACCAATCACAAAAAGACAAATTCTATGATTCCATTTATATGAGGCATTTAAAGTACTCAAAGCCAAAGAAACAGAAAGTAGAATGGTAATTGCTAGGGGTTGGGAGAATAGCAAATTGGGAAGCCATTCAACACGAAGTTTATTTTACAAGAAGAAAAATTTTAAGATCACTTGTACAACAACATGAATACAGTTGACGCTACTAAATAAAGCACTTACAAATGCTTACGATGGTTTGGAGGAGGGGTATCTGGTATTTGAATCTAGGCCTGCCTCAAAAACTCATGTATTTAGATCTGTGTCTGGTGGCATATGCCTATAATTCCACACTTCAGAGGCTAAGGCAGGAGGATGACAGTGAATTTGAGGTGAGCCTGGCTACCTAGTGAGTTCAGGCCAGCCTGAACTACTTGACGGGGCTCTGTCTCAAAAACCAAACCAAACCACCACAAAAAAAAAAAAAAAATACAGAATCCCCTCAAATATGTGTTTAATAATTAATAATTATGTTATCATTGTTTGCTACTTTGAAACAATTATATCTTTAAAGAACATTTCCTTATTCTCATTTACACAGTTCTCCCTCTTCTGTGTGTCAGGGGAGCAAACCATGGCTCATAGTTGCATTGCCTTAAGCCTGACAGATACCAGAATTTTCTCCTGGAAGAGTAGCACAATCAGTTGAGATAGAAAATTGAACATGGAGTCATTATTAATCCAAGAGATTAAGTAGAGAATCAAACACAGGTCAGAGGATTAGGCAAGACAGATCAAGAAGAAATAATTCTGGCTATTTAAAAACATTATTGCTAGGCATGGTGACAGGCACCTCCAATCCCAGGCTGAGGTTGGAGGATCTCAAGTTTGACCCCAGCCTGGGCGACTTGGTAACTTAGCCAGACCCTGTTTAAAAAGCAAAAATAAAAAAGGGATGGAGATGAAGCTCAGTGTGAAGGCCCTGGGTTCAATCCCCAGTACTACAAAAAATTAAAGGGGGTGATGGTGTAGCTAAGTAGTAGTGAATATGGTCAGTGTGTGGGAGGCCCTGTATTCTAACTCCAAAATAAATAAGTACATAAATAATAATAAAAAAAGCAACATACATAATTAACTGAAAAAGTACTTGTTTTACTAAGAGAAAAAATTTTGTGATGGAAGTTTAAAATGGTAAGTCTTTTACCTCATAACCTGAAGTCATTTCGACCTTTCTGAACCTCAATTTCTACAGCGTCAAAAGGAGCCATACTAATTGTAGGCCGTGTATCACGGAGAAGGATCTGAAAAGAAACATTTTTGAGGGTGAATCAGAATCAAACACACCAAGTTAGCAATGACAAAACCCAAACTATTAAACACAGAAGACTAAGAATTCCACTATTCAAATTTACCCAAATTAAACAAGGTAAGCTGAGAGTAGTCCTTGAAAACAAAGAATCCAGTTCGCTAGAATGGCAACAATAATGGAATTATGTTTGACTTTAAAATCAACACTTGGGGCTAAGGATGTGGTTCAGTGGGAGAGGTCTTGCCTAGTATGTGTGAGGCCCTGGATTCAATTCTCAGCATCACAAAAACAAATTTAAAAACCTACACTTAGCTAGGTGTATTGGCACACACAAGTAATTTCAGCTCTTAGGAGGCTGAGGCAGGAGGAACCCCATGAAGTAAAGGCCAGCCTGGACTACACAGTGAGACGCTGTCTCAAAAAAACAAAAACAAAAACAAAACAAACAGATATTGTGAATATTTATCTGATGAAGACTTAGTGTTTACCATGGTTAGATCTGTGCTATCTTGTATCCCTAGCACACAGGGATACAAAAATGAAGGCACTGGCTTGGTCTTCAATTTCAATAGAATGTTAAAAAAAAATTTTTTTTTTTGATAATAAGATCTACAGAATGTTTCATTAAGTACCAAGAACTATTATAAATGCTTCCTACTCATTACATTTTCACTTGCTTCATTTCAAACTACAATGTAGGTACTAATAATCACGCACATCTTATACAAGAGGCTCAGAGATTAACGTCTTTTTTTTTTTTTTTTTTGGTCTTTTTGAGACAGGGTCTAGCTGCGCAATTCAGGCTGTCCTTGAGCTCACTTAGTAGCCTAGGCTGGTCTGCGAACTCACAACGATCCTCTTGCCTCAGCCTCCCAAATGCTGGGATTACAGGCGTGCGCCACCACGCCCAGCCAAGAGAGGTTAACGCCTTGCCCAGGATCAAACAGCTATTAGATGGACGGGGTTACAACTTTTCTTTCTGGCACTGGGGATTGAACCCGGGGCTTTTTCACCGAGACACATTCCCAGTCCTTTTAAAATTATTTTTTTCTTTGAGACAGGAGCCCGCCAAGTCACTAAACTCCCTCGGGTGAGCTAGCATTTACAATCCTGCTTTAGCGTTCCAGGTTGCTGGGATTAGAGGAAGGCCTGGCTCGAAGCTGGGATACAACCTGACAGAGGCCTGAACTCACAGACTGCACGTGAGGGACGCTGATGTTCACCATGCGCAAACAGGGCCGAAGTATTATCACCTCCTGCGGGGCGTGTGGCGTCTCCGAGGCCCCGGGCGACTGAAGCCTACGCACTTCAGCCGTCTGGCGAGACTGTCTAAACATAAAGAGCTGGGGATGTACAGCAGTTCCGCGCGCAAAGCCCTGGGTTCAATTCCCGGTACCGAAAAATGCATAGAACTTCCTCCGGGCCTCGTTCCGATTAAACGAAACAGCGTACTAAGCGTCGTATGGCGCTTGGGCCGGGCGGAGCACCGAATGAGCTTCACTCTATGAAGCTGGTTCTCCACACCGAGACACGGAGAGGGCGCTGGCGGCACGCCGGGCAGCGACTTTCTGGACAGTGCCGCTCCGTCTCGACAGAGGCCGGGGCCACGGTCTTCGGTCACTCTTCGGTTTTCTGAACGTCTCACGTATCTCCTCTCTCAGGCTCTCCGCGGCCTCATTTCCCGCCGCTGCCTCCACCACAAACGGAGCTCGCTCCGCAGCCGCCGAGCGGCGCCTGGGCGCGCGCCTCGAGCACTTACACCAGCGGCCGCGCGGCTCAGCCCGGGGCGCGAACGCTCGGCCCAGTTCTCGCGGGGAGAAACGCGGGTTTTGAACGAGAACTTGTAATTTCGCCCGACCTCTCAACGGTCACATGACCGGCGCGCGCGTCCTCGCCTCAAGGTCCTTCCTGGTCCCAGACTGGCTGTTACCTGGGCTACCGGGCGTCGCGAGGGCCACCCCGAAGCAGGCGCTTTGATTTTTTCGCTCCCTCGGCGGAAGCGTGCCTCTCCGCTGAGCGGAAGTTCGTCACGTCGCGGTTGCCTCCGCACAGCGGATGTGTGTCGCCGCCGGGGTGACGCTGTGAAGCGCTTGCAGCCGCCGCCGCTGCCTTTTGGTTGAAGCACTATGGAGGAAGAGCGGAAGAACAACAACAAGCGCTGGTATTTCACCCGGGAACAGCTGGAGAATAGCCCGTCCCGCCGTTTCGGCCTGGACGCAGATAAAGAACTTTCCTACCGCCAGCAGGCGGCGAATCTCCTCCAGGACATGGGACAGCGTCTCAACGTGTATCCTTGCGGCCTAGGCCTCGGGCCCGGGCTCGGGCGGGCCGGGGCGGGAGGGCGGCGGCGGC